GCCGAGGAAATGCGAACTGTTCTCCTGGCGGACGCTCACGAAACAAAGTCAAGGGGTCACCATGATTTCGCAGGGCCAAGCAAAGGACAAAACCTCCTACTTACCATCGATGGTCTGAGATCTACCAAATTCGAACATATCAACATAGTACACGGTTACAATCATCAGGGAAGTATTCAGTCAGTTCGGCTTCCCGGAAACAGTAGTATCAGACCATGGACCTCAGTTTAGCACTGCACAGTGCTGAATTTTGTGCCATACGGTATGGAGCAAGTGCGCTCACCTCCTTATGATACAAAGTCAAATGCGCATGCTGAACGATTTACGGATACTTTCAAGAGGGCTCTAATAATAAATAAATAATGTGTCAGCTGTACGCCGTAACGGCGCTTCGCTGCCGCGCGACCACCACCAGTCGCGCGCGGGCTGAGTATACCGCGAGGACGCCCACCTATACGCGGGTTCGAACCGGTGACCTTATGGTTACAAATCAAACGCGCAGACCACTCGGCCACCGGCCGAGACGGACCATTTCAAGAGGTCCTACAGACTTTGCTACTAACATACATGATTACGCCTAGTCCACAAACGCCTGACGGAAAGTCCCCAGCAAAATCGCTTCTGCTCAGGTCTCGAACGACATTTGATCTAATGAGATCGCTGGATGGACCAAATTCCGAAAGAAATTGGATAATTCAGTCAGTACAACCGAAGACATCGCGCTACACCACATTTTGACATTGGACAGGTGTTGGCAAAGGACTGTCGGAACAACAAAATCTCTTAGACATCTGGGTTTGTTGTAAAAAGACATGGCAGTCTGTTGTAAAGTGGTCGTAGGCGATGACAGATGGGTTTCGCCACACCAATCAACTCATTCAACATAAATACTTCTGGACGAGTTCAAACTGTTAACAACAGAGGCTACCTAGCAAGATAAGCCTATCACTCCACTCTCTCCTTCACCTGATTGTCGGCCTAGAATATGGACGGATCGTTGCCGAGTCCCTGTCACGCCGCTCCAGGTCAACCACAGGGTGAAGTCATATAACAGTGAACTTTAAACGTGGAGCTGTTAAAAAGAACACCTCGCAACGAATGGATCAGTGAACCCTTAACGAATAAAACTCCAGCCATTTTCCAGAAATCAAGGATAATAATCGCATTGGTTGATCAAAAAAATGTTCTCGCACCATCTAATAATATTATGGGTGAGTAAAGAACGAAAGCGAACAGATAAGGTTAAAGAAGGTCGCTACGGACAAATAAATATCGGTACCTTGCGCTCGTGTCTGGCAGCCATTACACCGTAGCTATGACCGCTTTTTATCGGCCAATAGGGGTGGACAGGTTTTCTCAAGCAGCCAATCAGAGTGGCCCGGTGCGACTTTGGGAACCATAAAATGTGTGAAGATAATCGTTTATTTCGCAAGAACTAACTTCTGACACAGCAATCGCCGCAAGGGAATATGGCGAACATCAGCCTTCAACCAGCCAAAGACGCAAATCAATCATATTGCGATCGGTTACCGTTGGAGACAGTACAATAATGGTCATTTGACTTGGAACACAAGCCTGAACTCCGACCATGCACTTGCATGCGTTGATCTGCGAGCACGTTTCGGGGAACGTTAACGACGACGGTGTGAGCGCATAAACAGTTGCTAACTGGTGAAACCGGATGTTCTGAATGTACAACAAAGTAGGCCGGCATCAAAGTTAAGCAACCACTGAACACAGTTGACGGTCAAAGATCACACGTTCACCAGATGGTAGTAGCCGCAGGTATGTCTTAGTGTGGGAAATCTTACTGAACTTCTGGATGACCGTCCGGATGGTAGCGGACACGAGAGAAAAATTACGTACTAGCTGGAAAAGAGACCGTAAAATCTGTTGGTCTAATCGTGCATCGGAAATGAAAACAGCCGCCGATCTTAGTAAGTATCGGAAGTTAGTCGGTTTGATAGAGGAATCTGGCAACAGAAAGCCTAACATCAGCGAGACTATGTACCATGAGATTGGGTAGACCATTTACAGCTAATCAAAGCCCTTAAAGCGCTGGGGTAACCGAAAGTTCTAGATTCGATAACGGTCAGTGATTGCCCTATTCCGTAGGCTGCTCCTTCGGACTCATTCTCCCGCGCGAAAGTCCTAAGTAAGATCAGACTGCTGAAATTGAATAAAGTCGCAGGACTAGATGGTCCATTTCTAGTCATCTTTTGGACGACTTACATGAGTTATCAGGAGAACTGTGGGAGCAGGAAACTGCTCCAATCGATTAGAGCTGCTTCGCTATGGTCCCGATTTTAAAGAGAGACGCGCTTTCGAAATGCGGCAATAAGCACGATCACTATCGCTTCCACGTTACTGGCTTCTGCAGTTCTGCATAGACTGACTGACATTCATGAAAATCAGAACAATGAAAAACAAGCCGGGTTTCACCTAAATCGAGGCTGCATTGGTCACATCAATACTTTACGTGGGCTGGTGAAGCCAGGCCACTGATATCTGCGACCCAATGTATTAGTGTAACTCGATATCAAAGGTGCTTACGACTCGATGGATCGATGTGCCCATTGGGACTGTCTGCACAGAAAAAATGTGTCCGATAAATACGTGAATATGATAGGAGTGTTTTATGGGCATTGTTCAGGTAGAGTGAGGGATTATGGCAAACTGTCACCACCTTTTGATATCTCATGCAATGTGAGACATGGATGACCGCTGTCAGCTTTCCTTTTTAACTTGCCAGGGACGAAATCATGAAGACTACGTTTACTGTACACGACCTGTAAGATGTGAAGCTGCTTCTAGGTGATCGAATTCTTAACGTTAAGTATACATATATTTCCCTAGTCTGTGACAACTCCCAAACGTGTCAAGTGGCACTGGACAGATTAGAATTGGTTGTCAACCGTGTGGTATGCTTGGCACTTCCGAAATGCAAAGCTATCAGCGAAGATTCAGAAGGCCACCTCTGCAATGATACCTGGTGGGAATTAACTAGATGCCGTAAAAAATTCAACTAGCTAGGCAGCTGTCAGCGCGTGTGGAATAAAAAATGAAGTGGCGAACCGTATAGCGTTGGACACACTTGCTGATATGGCTAGGAGCCGACCTCAGTGGCGTTCGTGCTGTGAGTTTCTTTGTCCCACCCCATCCCTCTTAGCCTCCCCCTCCAACCACGATCTCATTACTTAGCCTTATATAATTTTGCATAATAATCTTTTCTGGGTGCTCAGCATCCGGCTGGTAGCTTACCGGAACGATGCCCATCCGTTACCGGTAGCTCAGCCAGCTTTCACCAGTTGTTTTCTTTCTCTTTTTTGTTTGTATTGCGGCACAGTAGCCGAGGTGTTCCCCACCTCTAGCTAACGTGTATTATGATGATGATGGTGATGAACCGTATAGCTAAAATTTAAAGCGCTTTCTTTCGACTTCGCCACTCGCTGCACTGGTGCGATATTACGCTTCTCTGAAAAGTAGAGTCTGCAATGCAGCCGCCTGTTCGACCCTACTGTATGTTCTTGAAACTCGGACCATCAAATCTAAACATAAAGAGGCTAGCTGCGTTTGACCATCGGCGCCTTCGCAGTTTGGCTCACAGCTGATGAAGACACCACGTGAGTAATTAGAGTATAACCTATCTCGTTTCTGGCGCAGAATGTGTGAGCAGCCCAGCACCGATAACTCTCGCATGAGGCTCCAATGATCGTACCAGGTTCTACGCATACCAGCCCACCGAATCCTACGACGTGCGTGGTTTGCACAACCTGGGCATGGATGGAAAAAGGAAGAATAGACCGAGTGCTTGGTTATGAGGAATGAAGGCCCACATTGGGAAGTTGGCTTCGGTTGGAGCCCTTCGAATTCCTGCTTGGGGTGCTAAAGACTATAAATGCGATGGCTTTCGCGTTGCGAACTTGTATGTCCGTTCCCATCTCATAAAGTCTCCCTCCTCAGGTACCAAAGCAATGTGGAAAAAACAATCCCATGCATGTTATGGCCTTTTTCCTTTATATTCTCTTTAATGCCATCTATCTTAATCGTATTGGGGCACAAGGTGTAAAATGATGATGGAGGGGGGCGAAGTGGCTACCTAATTCTACCGATATGACACCATCAGAAAAACAGAAACCACATAGTTGCACACGAAGTCAACAGAAGAATGTTTAAGCAATCTACAGAAAACAACGGCAAGCAGCTCAGTAAAGTTGGGGAGGCGAGATATGCATGGGTAGGTAAAAAGAATCATGAACAAGAGCGGTCACAGTTCATGATTGCTATCCATTCCTCTATAACAAGCAGAAATCCAAACAGTAAGCCACTACAGACAACTAACGTAAAATGTGAAGAAAAGTAAGACTGTGAATACGAACTGGACGGCATTGCTACCGTTCATT